CTCTGACCTGTTAAACAGAACTAGTGGTCATAAAAAAGTAAGACTCAGATTTTCTTGACTAGATCTGATAGTTTTACGTATTTATGTAGTTTAATTATCTTAGATTTTTAGGTGGTGGTAGTAAGTTAGGCTCTCATGGCAGGTATTGGTTACTGAGCATTCACTATGGCCAGGTGCTTCCCTAAGTGTTTAGCAAATATTAATGAGATCACTTACTTTAATAATAACTTTTTGAGGTTGGAAATCCTAGTATCCCCTTATCTCCTGTTAGATACCTACATTGGGTAGATTCTGGGTTCTCACTTCAGTTCTCCTAGACCCAAGAGGCCATTAAATTTTCCAGGTTGGCAGATGTCCTCGGGGCAGAATGTGTTTTCTTACTCCCTGGATTCCAGCTTTCACTTTGATTTTGGCTTGATAATTCGTTACTCGCTAGTCAGATGATTGGTGTTTTAAAGAAGATTACATTTTTTTAATCCATTATTTTTAGTTTTTTTGTGGGAGAGTTATCCAAATATACTAGCCTGCCCTATTTCCAAGAATGGAACTGAAGCCCACTTGTTTTATAGTTGACAGAAATGGGTTCAAAGAGGCTAGGGACTGGCTCAGACCCTAGAGCTGGTTAAGCAGAGTCCCTACTAAAATCCAGGTCTCTGTCTTCAAGTCTGTGCTGTGTTTTCTGCTATTTATCTGGTGTATCTGATAGTTTTGATTTGTGGAAATTTGAGGAATCAAACCATAAGTTTAATGAATGTAGATGGGAAATTATGAAAATGAAAAACTATGTCTATCTTTTCTCTAAATGGCTTGTTTGGTTCTGGTTTCCCTTCACCTCCCTTTGGTGTTTGGATACTGAAATGTAGACATGTGAGAGGGGCCTAATGTAGAACTCCGCAAATACAGTGAAAATGTGTGGACTGTCAGGCTGCCTCCTGAAGCATCTGTCAATCCCATGAAAGCTACTATGTCCTAGTGTAGGGTAAAATAAATTTGAAAAATCTTGAACAGTCGAGTCCATCTCAGTCTTGTGGAAGGGTAATTTCTGTCACCCACTTGCTCTTCTCCTTTCCCTCCTGCCATCTGAGTTGCTGTCTTCCTGTTACTTGTCCTCATTCTGGTTGGAGCTGGCAGCAGAACAAGGGATGCTCATTGTGAACCTGTTTCCCTCTTTGCCTTTCCTAGTCAGTAGCCTCTAGGGTTTGGCCCCTCTCCAGTCCAGTCCATCGCAGCATATACTTTGACAAGCTTACTACACCTCTCTGGCTTTACTGTTCTCCTACTTTTATTTTCCATTCTCTGATTCCTCCTAATATTTACTTTTATGTAATTGGTGTTGTATATAATTCTGTAATCTTTTGTGGTCACAAGAATGGCCATAAACTGCCAAATCAGTACCTTTGCTCTGCCTGGGGAGGAGTGACTGAAGGTAACGTTCATTTGAGCTGGCCCTGGAGAGATCTGCAGTTCTCACCAGGAGGCCATTCCCCTGGTGGACAAAAGCATTTGCTGGTTTTCAGCATTGACATCACCTGTGTTTGCCAGCTTTGCCATGTGTTGGCACTGTGGGGAAGTTATATGTTCTGCCTAAGCCTCAGTTTTCTCATATATAAAATGGGAATACTCTTAGTGCATTGAAGTGCTTAGTGGTGTCTGACACATATCTGAGCTCACTAAATGTTAACTAGTATTATTTTTGAGAGATGAAATACAGTTTAGGCAAAGGGAATAGAGGTACAAAAACATGGAGGTATACAGGTGTGTGTGCAATGTTCAGATATACCAGCAGGGAGTAGGCAATGGCCAAGTGTAGGCCATGCGTGGGATTTACATAAAAAGTGAGTCTGGGCAAGAACTGCTGGGATGCAGATGTGATGGGGGTGTGTATTGAATGGTGCTGAAACCGCCGCTTAGGCAGGGATTTAGAGAGGGAGTGAGACAGGAGACTGTTGGTGTGGGTCATGCATCTGTCTTGTGTTCCCAATAGAGCAGGCTGGTGGACCTTAAACACCTGTGTACATGAATTACTTGGGGATGTTGTTAAAAACACAGCCCCCCGTCTTTACCCCCATCCCTGACTCTGTCCTCAGAGATCCAGACTTACTGGGTCTGCCTTAGACCCTAAGATGCTAATTGACTTGATCCAAATGTACGGTGGTCCTCAGATGCACTTTGAGATTGCTGGAATAGTTGTTGAGGAAGTGCATGCTAATTTACTGGCAGGTCTGATGAAACTCAGTGGGAGGGAAGATAGAAACAAAAAACATAGAAGGAGCATGTTTACATTCATTATGAGTTACAAATATCCATGCTCGAGCCTTGTATTTTCTTGCTATGGATGAGGGAGCACCAGTAATGCAGATATATTTTCAAAGATAAAATATAATCAGCAATCATATGATTGTTTTATTAGGTTTTGGAGAGCTAGGGACTCATCCTTATCTCCTAGATCTAGCAGGAGGCCAAGGGATGGAAAAGCCTGTTAAAAAGAGAGCAGTAAAAGGGAGGAAGGTGCACAGTGTGAGGTCAGGAAATGAGAAAGGTAGAAATGGGAAAGGATGGCAAAAGAGCAGTTAGATTTGATTGGTTGAGAATCTGTTTGTGAAGGAACCCAGCCAGTATTTAACCCGTTTTGAAAAAAACTAAACTTCCAGCATTTTTAATTAATGGATCACTCACTTTTTAAATTGCCCAGTTGGGAATCCTCAAGTTTTGATGTGTTTTATCTGCCTGCTCATTAGCAGGCTGCGTGGCTGACCATCATTTTTCCTGCATTTTGTGGACAGAACATGCATATGAAGGTCTCTTGAAACACTCCAGCTCAAGTCTGGGTTAAAAATGCACGTTATTGCATTTAGTAAGAGTTCGTACTAAACTATAAATCAAATCCTAGTAAATCTGTTCTCCAACTCAATTCTTTCTCTTTGCTCTTTAATATGATTTTTTCTGTAGCACAGGGCTTCTCAATCCTGGCACTTTTGACATTTGGGGCCAGGACATTTTTTGTTGTGGGGGACCGTACTGTGTATCTAGGTGATGCTTAGCAGCATCTCGTTTCCATCCACTAGATGCCAGTACAACTCCCCCCCTCCAGAAGTTGGGACAACCCAGAATGTCTCCAGACATTGCCAGATGTCCTCTGGGGCCAACATTGCCCCAGGTGGAGAACCGCTGGTCTGGCATTACTGTGGTCTTTCCTCCTTGACTCTGCCTACTTTTTATGTTTAAAATCCTCTTTGAAAATTGAAAAGAGAAAATGTGTCTAAACAGGATGACATCTTATGGTACAGATTCAGATTTGTCCCTTTTCCTTCATTATTTTTTGGCCAAATTTAAGAGCAGAAATTTCTTCAATTAACCAAGCTGGCTGTTTCAGGTAGAAAGGAATTTAGGAGGTGCCAGACTTCTGAAAAGCTGCCGTGTTTCAGAGATGTTGTTGCTTACCGTGTTTTTTGTTTGTTTTTGATGAAAATATTTGATTTTTGGTTAAGGATGAAGCGAACCATGTAGGCTGCAAAACTTACTCATGTGAGAACCCAGAGGTTCTGAGGCATTTCTTCGCGTCCTCCAGCCCCGCGTACAGGCTGGCCAGGAGGCCGGGCTGTGACACAGCAGCTCGGAGAAGCGCCGCCCCGCCGGTCCCTCTTGAATGCGCCCCCAGAGCTTCCCCACATTCCTTACAGCTCCAGCTCCTACTTCAGCTGGCCCTAGGGGACGTCTATTTGCAGTGGCATTATCTTCTGAAGCACCGAAAGGAAGGAACCAAAATAATTTGTTTAAAAAAGAAAGAATTCAAGTTTAGTGCCAATAGTTGTTTTTTATTGATCTAGCCCATCTCTGAAGATATTCTAAAACAATGTGTACTCCACAGTACCCCCAAAATAAGTCAATTAATTATACTATGACTACTTCTGCTGATAATAAAATAGCAGTGATAAAAGGAATGACAGTAGTGCATTGAGAGAATAAACAGTATCACTGAAATGTTAGGAAACACAATAAATGGGATTATGTCTGCTGAACCAGAGTTTCACACCTCCTCCAGCTCTGTCAGAGGAAGTTTGTGATGGCCATCTGTTACCGTCCGTGATCAAAATAATAGAACAGTGAAACTTTTTATGCTTAGACAGGGCCTTTCATCAAAAGTCTCAAAGCTTCTTCTAAATATAGAGTGACTGATCTTTAAAATTTTATGGTTTAAGCATTTAATATGATAACTTAGTTGTCCTACCCTCCATCCCTAGTACTTGCCACTGGATGCACTGACTGAGCATTTAGCAGTCTGTCAGCATTAGAATGTTGCTGCTCCAGATGTTAGAAGAAGGCCAACTCTCCCATAGTTCATGTAGTCTCGTCACCATTATTTAGCAAAGTGAAACTTGGACAAGTTTAATTTCCACATCTCAACGCCCAGATTAAGGGTCTCAGGCCAAGTGGCCAAGTCTATTAAAAAAAAAAAAATTAAAAGTCTGAGACAGTGTTGTCTTATCTTAAAAAACAAAAATCCCAATATCCACGTAATGTCCTGGTAGAAACAGATTACCAAATTATTTTTTTTGGTATATTTTTTTGCATGTCTGTTGTCTGGTATGATAAAAGCCTTGACTAGAGAACAGAGAGTGTTCAGGAGCATTATGGCGTGGATGCTCCCATGTTAGTATGAATGTTTACCTGAATTTAACTTTGTTTTGTCCAAATGATTTAAATAAAACTTTAAGTGCAGTTTTATGTCTATAAGAGTTGAGGCTCTGAAACACTGTGAAAGACGCAAGTAATATTTATGTTCATACCTCTGGTTCCTGAGGGTCCAGTTCATTTTTGCTGTGAATTTAAATGAGTTAATTTAAGTAGATGGGTCAGAAGCCACTATCATTGCAGTAGCCCCGTGCCTGATTCTTAATTAAAGGCAACAGGAGATTAATTTGAAACATTAATTTAAAAGTGTATTATAAAAAGAAAGAATTATTGCAAGAAAGCCTCAAGAACTTTTCTCTTGTCCCTAGATGTAGAAGACAGAAGTAGCTCAGGGTCCTGGGGGAATGGAGGACATCCAAGCCCATCCAGGGTAAGTATATCTAATCTTTTTTCCTATTTCCAGACATCCCATATTTGCCAATATGTAAATTGACAAACTGAAGGTGAGTTTCTCTCAAGCACTCACACAACTGCATAGATATATATGCACACTAAGTTTAATGAGGATCAGCTTATGTTTGGATTTGTTTTTCTTTCTCTTAGTGGATGCTGTTATTGAATTTGACACCTGTTCTACTGCTAACCAGAAGAAAAATCCTTCATTAAATATTTGGCCTTACTTTGCCAGTTATTGATCTAGTATTATAGAAAGTTATGTTTTGTAGATGGCACAACTTTGGAAAAAATCCTAGTACTGCATCCCTCTAATATATTGGTGTAAATAGATTACTGAATAATTCTGAAAACATAGTATGAAGGTTTAGCCTATCTGTATAATCTGTATAATAAGTCTGTATTGACTTCACTTTGTAAACATGCTATTATTCCTCCAGTAATGCCTTTGGTCACCAGTGGGGTTCATTCATTTCTTTGGTGACATATTTTTGCTACTCTTTTTCATGGTGTTCCTCCATGATTTGGTTGGTAGTTTTGGTGTCACGGGATGACCATGGGTGGAATGCCATATGTGTTTTTGTATGTATATGACTTTGGGCATGTCATTTCATCTCTTTGATCTTCATTTTCCTAATTGATAAAATGGAGAAGTAGAACCAGAGGATCTTTTATGTTCCTTCCAACTTATGTAATCTGTCTTCAGCAGAATCATTTCTGGGCTCTGTAAAGTCCATGTCAGCTTTTATAATGTACATATAAATGCCCCAAGTTGAAAATAGACTTAGAGCACATAGCTGAGCAAACATCTGCACCTCCTCCAGCCAGCTGAATAGATGAAGCATTCTGTCTGGAGCGTAACATTTTACTTTAAGTAGTCACATAAATTTGGTGGGGAAGGAGGTCTTTGTTTCAGCCTAAGAGGCAAGGAAGGTAGGTAATCAAGCTGTCAAAATGAGGACATTTCAGCAAGCCTTAGTTACCCATTTCCACCTGTCCTTTGGCCTTGTGGTTCTCACTCTAGTCTTCAGGGTACAGCAGGATCTCCAAGCTTACCAGTAACTTTGTTCAGCCCTTGTACCAGCTGTCGAGCTTGACATTCTAATGCATTATATGGATGAGTTGAGGAAATCTTTCCTCCTCCTCATATTACAGTCTGCAGTTGCAAAAATAAATCTATTCTTTTTGACAGCAAGTGTAGGAGACGACAGTGTTCCCCTTCATTGTTTAGTTCATTCAGACTTAATTTCTGATGACTTCTCCATTTAATACACACAGTACGTTTAATTATATTTCTGAGAACAAGGTCCATTTTGGATCATCCTGACGTTTAGTTAGTGTTCATTAACTGTTCTGCCATGTTTTTCAGGGAATATGTTGGTGAATGATTTAAATCAATATTTTGCAATTTATATTTTCTGAATCCAGGGAGTTTGCATGAGACAGATTACTGTGGCTGACTTGAACCCATACAACTTAAGTTTGTCTTCTCTCATCTTAAAGTGCTGCTATTATCGGCTACCTTGCAGTACTGTGCTGAGGTTTAAATTAGATAATGTATATGAAGCTTTTAGAATACTCTAGGATGGGGACACTTAAAGATAATTAGTATTATGCAGTGCTTGGTATGGAATGTGTGAGTGTAAAACCCATGCTGGGTATGTGACACCTTCCTGTACACTGACGTATTAGCAGCGTCAGGTTATAGCATCCTTCAACTTCCTTTTTATAAATGAGGAAAGGATTGAACACGGGTCTGTCTGGAACTTCAAGGGTTTCAGTTACTCTCTCATGATCCGACGTGCATTTTCTTTTTTCATACAGCACCCCTCTTTTTTATGTGAGCAGCTTCTGCCCTTTGGCTAACATGCCAACTGACACTTCTGAGTAAATTTGACTTAGTCTTTATGGGCAGTGCAACCAGCTGAGCAGAATGACTTTGTTTTTCCTTTTTGGTTACTTAATGCACCTTAGTAGATTGAAATTTGAACCATATGATATACAATATATGTTATCAATTCCTCCATGAAAAGTAAGTGACTGGGCAGTTTAAGAGCATTGTTTTAGTTTTAAATTCCCACTAAAAACAATTAGTTAATCTAATAATGACAAAATTAATGTCTGCTTTAAAACCATTTTTTGTGGCACACTTTGTCCAAACCCAGAAGTACTAATTTATGCTAAAGTTGTGATGTTCATTAATAGTCATATTGTAATTTAACATTCTATGTGCTAATTAGTTAATGGAATGATCCAGTTCTCTTACAACCACAATAACAACTATAACAAAACACTGAAATTTCGATTTCATAAAAACCATGTGTTGCTTTTTCAGAGGCTCTCCCTGGATCTTCCAAAAATGATTTATTACGGGCTGTGGGTAGTTTTCTCTTACAGGACAACCTTGCTTTAAAAAACAACAATGTGGGCTTATCAAAATAATAACTTTTAATATTTACAATATATTTTATATGTGTCAGGTGTTTTACATGCATTATTTCATTTAATCACATCAACAACGTTATGCAAATTGGTTTAATTATTACTGTTCCCTAGATTTCACAGCAATTATGAGGAATACTTGGACTCTGTAGACTCTAGAGCCCTCTCTTAACTATGGTACCTGTGAAGATGCGGGTTCCTTATAATGAGGTTCCTGGGTCAGAATGGTGGACTCTAGTTTCTTTGGGTCAGAAAGCTCTCAATAGTGGGGGCATATTTATGTGCTGATTTTTTACATGTAAAATTGAAGCTTATGCTGTTATTTTATTTACAGAACTATGGAGATGGGACTCCTTATGACCACATGACCAGCAGGGACCTTGGGTCACATGACAATCTCTCTCCACCTTTTGTCAATTCCAGAATACAAAGTAAGATAAATTTTAAATTAACATGATTTTTTTTGAATGAATATGTTTTACTATGGAAGAGAGAACACAAGCCCAGACAGATGTTCTGTTTTAAGGAACTTGGATTTTTAGTCAGTTCTCTATAGTAATTTTAAATTTTAGGAAAATATTGATAATCTATGCTTGGTAATAGCGCAAAAAGAACTAAGTTTCATGACCATGTGGAATTACAGAATTTCATTGAATCTATGTGGAAATTTTGTCTTTGTTAGACACAAAGCACTTACCACAATTTCAGTGATGCAATAGTAATTTTCTTAGTAAACGTTGGTAAAATCGAAGTTGGTGAATATTTCAAATAAAAATATCATTGGGCCTGCCAGTTAGCAATGAGATATAGTCAGTATTAGTGTGAATTTTTATTAATAGGAGTTATGGAAACACCTTTAATAATAGCTATAGTGTGCTTAGTAGGTTTATTGTGTTAAAGTGCCTTCGGGGTGAATTGGAAAATCTGGTGGTATATTTATCGGGGGCGAACCAGGGTGCTGGTGGTCTGAACAGTCCTCATTGTGGGAGCGCGCTCTGCAGTTTGGGACAGGCTGTCGTTTCCCGCAGGTCCTTTCCACTGGTGTCCTTAGCATCGTTTTCTGCTTTGACTACCCTGTAGGATGTTTAACATCAGACGCCTAAGCAATGAAAAGATAATTCATACTGGCTTAAAAGGTCTCCGTAACTGGTTACTTTACTTTTGATTGAAAAAATAATCTTTGTTGTAGTAAATGTGAATTTTAATAATATTAGTAAAATCTCTCACCTTGGCCAGATTTTATTGAGAATCCTCAATAAATGAAGTTATATTTCTTGGCGCAAGCTGTTGGCCAATACTCCAAGGAAAACATATAGCCATAATTATATCATTCTGAAACCATAATTGCAAATGCTTTTAAAGAATGTCCCGATTTTTAAGCCATGGAACTCTACTTGTTATTTAAAATGTAGGTAGTCCTTGAATGGCAGCCACCCCCAATTCACCATTAAATCCATCTAAGGAATTTCAGATACTTAACATAAAATAAACACAGCAGAGAAATACTAGCAATTTATTTTTAATGGGTAATATCATATGTGGTGTATGTCATTCCAACTTTGAGAATCACTAAGTTGTCTTTGATCATAGGTTCTTATGTTTGTCCTTTTTTTAACTTTAAAATGGTAAGATTATAGATAGATGATAGATAGATAGATAGATAGATAGATAGATAGATAGATAGATAGATAGATAGATAGATAGATGGATGTTTTAACTTTGTAGCTAAAATAAGAATCCCCGTTTTTCATCAGTTGTTGATAGGAAGGTATAGTAGTTTGCTGTTTTCAGGATACACAGATGCAGATGGCTAGATACATTTATCAACTTAAAATTTAAAGAATAACTTTTAGATGCTTCAATGACAGTAGTAATAATTTTAAATTCCAATGCCATTGCTTCGCTTTCATCCTCACTCAATTTCATAAAATAGAAAAAAAACTTAATTTGAAAACAGAAATCTTCAGAAGTAACACCTAACGAGTATATCAAAGAACTTCTTTAGTAGTTTCTAAAACTGTCCTCTGACAAGTTAAAGTAAAAGAGAATATAAATAAATTACTATTTCTATTTAGAAGTTCATATAATATACATTAAAAAAGTTTTCCTGAAGAACAACTTGATAAATTAATATTAAAGAATACACCAAGCAATACAAAGACAGTAATTGTTGTTCCTGTGTCCTCATGGGCAACTGTTTGACCAACCAAATTCATTTTCAATCCAAATAATATTTAAAATATTAGTGGGATGAGAGTCTAGCGCTAGAGGGGAGAGAGCTCTTTTCATGTAGTTGTTGTTGAAGCTGAAAGTCGCTGTCGGCTGTGCTCCCTGTCCCGTCTGCCCTCCTTCCCGTTGGACTCTTCAGTGTGGAGGCCGCCAGCCTCCTGCATTGTGATAGGAAGTGCTGCCCTGTCCGGAGGCTCCCACCCACTGTTCCCAATGAAAGGACTTCTCTGTTAGATAAGCTGTCTGGTCTGAAACATGGCTCTTTATTGTTTACAAACTGCTACATTTTCCACCTCAAGCAGATTTTTGCACAGAAAAGAATTGTGCTTGGGCTAAATGGTTTATCTGACATTAACGGTGCAGTGTCAGACTGGGGTCAGAGAAGTCGCCCTCAGAGCCACAGGGCATGGTGCAGTGCGCAAGAAAGGAAAAGGGGGAAAAGGCGTTGAAACGGCTATGAAATACCTTGCATTTTTAGTTTGGAGAAGAATTTTCAAGAAATAGTTTCAGAGAACTGACTGTGATGCTGCATTAAAAACTCTTCCCACCCTTATAATTTCTCACATCCCAAACGCCTTCTTGATTGGCTTGAGTATCTCAGGGCTAGATTCTCGGGAACAAAGATTCTCATTGATTTTGCTCAAGCTGCTGTTTATTTAAAATGAAACCACTTTTGAGATGAGCGATGCTTAGTGTTATGTTGCATCTTTACAAAAAGAAGATAGATCATTTTTAAGAAATTAAAGGCAACCAGTTTACAAAGGGAGACAAAAACATAAAATAAGATCTATTAGCGTAGAGAACAGTTTGAGCTCATAGAATATAACGTATATTCTAAACCGTCCTTCGTGTCCAAATCCACAGTCTGTGTTATGATTTTTGTGGAAGTTCTCATTCTACCAAAAGAAGGTATTAGACTTTAACATAAGTTTTTGACAGTACTTTAGTACCCATTCTCAGAATCTTTAGTTTTTGTTAATTACAAAGGATTTCTTTACATGTCAGAGACTTAATTCTACTATGATGTCACATTAGGGTAAAAGCTATAGCATCAGAAATAAATCAGCCACTTTATTGGACCAGATTCTCTATTGTCAAATCAATCAAGCCTGTAACTGAATTAGGCGTCTGCTGCAGAAATAAGTGACACTAATTTTACGGGAAAGAGTTATTAACTGCAGATGACCTGATTTCCTTCTCTCTTTTTTTTTTTTTTTGTAAACTGTTCACTCAGTGAGATTTAGTTTATTACAAGAAAAGAAAAAAGTCATGAACCACTTTCCCCTTTTGGAGTGAATTAATATTACATGTTTTGTTCTTTATGGCAGTCCACTATTTTGGAGAAATGAGACAGGAGTTGCTAACATTTGCTCATAAGCACTTTTATGCTAATAAAGCCCTTCATTACAATTCTGAACTCTGATATTTTACATGAATGGTTTGGCATAAATGTTACAGTTTTTGTAATATAATATTTATGTTTGGCACAAAAATAATAAAACTATTTGTGTATCTCATTGATGAAAATGGGTTATAATTTATAAGATTAATAGTGCAACTCCATTAATTTACTCTTTCAGAAATAAGCTTTCATATCTGAATATAGTACTCTATTTAATAGTTTATGAATCCCTGAGGTAAAAATAAACAAATGAACACAAGAGCACTTGTGCAAGCGTGTGCACACACACGTTTATTATGCTAGAAGAATTAATGACATTTCTTGGTTTATAAGGTCGCACTACTCCTGCAATTGCTGTCTGTAATTTGAGTTGCCAAACAGAGTTTTGGAAGTTGATATTGAGTACATCCTTTAAAGAAGAACATAATTAAAATAGACAAAACAGCAAGCCCCTAAATTTGTTCTTTGAAAAAATAAGTGTGCTTGGCTTTTTGCTTTTCTTTTGTTGTGAGGGAGTGTGAGTGATTTAAGAACCAAGTCATATAGCTGACTGCCTCCATTAACCGATCGATAGACTCTTCTACCTGATATTTCCTTGAGTCCCTGCTCATTGCTTTCATTGGGTTGGTTTGCATTTTTACCTGTTTGATTTTCTGTGTCCTGTTTTGTACTGAAGAGAAAGCAAATCACTTCTTCCCTGTGACTACCTGTGATTATTAATGATAATACTGTACACTTGATCTGTTGGAAACTTGTTTGCTGCAGTTTTAAATAGTTTGATTAAACCTATACAGGTGGTCAATGGGTGGCTTTCAGAACATGCTAATAGGACAGAGAGGCCATGCGTCTGAGTCTTGTTTTTAAGAGGACTGTATGGCATGGAATAGTTTGAACTTTCTGAGAATATGGATTTTTAAAACTTTACTGCTTTTGCCCAGCCGGGCGTGGCTCAGCGGTTGAGCGTCAGCCTAGGATCTAGGTGGTCGGGGTTCGATTCCCGGCAAGGACACATGCCCCAGTTGTGGGCTCGATCAATAACTCTCTCATCATTGATGTTTCTATCTCTCTCTCCCTCTCTTTTCCTCTCTCTGAAATCAATAAAGATATATTAAAAAAAACAACAACAAAAAAACTTTACTGCTTTTGTTGTTGTCATTGATTCTTGCCAAGCATTAAACTTTTGCAAGTAATTAATTGTCCAAATGTTTTTACAGTGCTATACAATATATTTTCCAGCTAAAACTTTTCGATCCAAGGAAGGATCTAAGGATGCATTTTCCTTCTATTATTCTGCAGCCTTAATTGAAAACCAGATTGTTTGAGTGAGCGAGTTGCCAATAAGATTATACACATGCATTTGGTAACTGCAGGATGTGAAAAGTGATACTTTTGTATGGTTGGGTGCAGCTTAGTTCAACATCAGCTGCTGTGTTTTTACATGTCCCTTTGTGAAAGGTTCGGTTTCCTTATTGTGGTATTTGGTTCCAGTCCCACTAATAGTACTCAACCAGTGCACTAAATAATTTCCCACCATAGAGTCACGGGTTTCTAAACTAGCTCAGTGAAACATTTTACTGCAGGAATAGATCGAGGTTTCAGGCATAACTGAAGAAAGCTGCTGGCTTACAGGATGACCTTTGAGTCGCATCTGGGTTAGCGGTTGATATTTTGATTTGGTTACTGTGGTCATATTGTGACAGCTGCTAGCTCATTATAATTCAGTTCCACTGCTCCGTTTGCCTAGCAGGAATATTTAGGTTTGTATTACTTCAAAGTGTTTATGGCTATCCTGAGTTTAGCCCAGCATAAAGGTGAAGTGTTGTGAGCTTTTTCAAATCCCAGTGGCAGAGACTAGTGGCACAGTCTTCTTGTAAAATGGCAAATGTGAGTAGATGCTAATACAGGGAGTGTTTCTTTTCCTTGTAAAACTGGAAATACCCAGTGAAGAGGCTCTTACTAGGAAAACTGTTTGGAAAACCTTAACCTACAAAGGAGAAGAATGGCCACATCGTTAAGAAACATTGTTTTTTTAAAGTATGGGTAAGAGTTAACTTGACCAGATTTTTTTCCCCCATGGAGGAATATAAATATTAAAAATTTAAAAAAAACTGTGCAGAAATGGCAATTACTGGGTGTTCGAAAGTGCCAGGGGTCAAATAATATTTTAGTAACTTCATGAAAATGGAGTTGTGAATATGGATGTCAGCTTTAGAAATTTTCATTCACCTTTAGAGTATCCTGAAGTCAGGGAGTGATGTCAGGCTGCTTGCAGGTTCATTAGTTACGGGACCTCTCTGTGTTTTCACTGTGTTGTTTTTTTAAGGACACTTTTTAGCTTGAGGTTAGGTTGTCTTGATATCATCTGTTATCTGTTGGACTGATAATGTGTAACAAGCATTTTCTGAGAGAAGAAATGTTTAAAGTGGCTTTAGTGGTTGTTATTTATTTACTTATTTTTTGCTTGTTTGGGAGTTTTGTTATTTTAATATGTCAAGTTTAAAATGTTTTCTCAAAATATTAACAAATAAGACCATTTTAAGCGCCATCCTGTGATTTTATTAATCCTGAGTTTGAGCTAAGTTGGGGACTCGGAACTGACTTTTCTCCTCTCTGTTTCGCTACAACTGCCTGTGGGTCCTCAGTCAGCCATTTTTCACATCTTTAAATTGAGGGTGGAACAGATCTTAGGTGATCCCTGAGGTCATTTTTTATGTAAGGTTCATTGATCTTTTAGGTGAGCCATTTATCTTTATACTGTATTTTATCTTTAGAGATGTTGATCATTTTTTCTAATCCATCTCTATCTATGATACCTTCAAGTAATTTTGCTAGTGATGTGTTTTCCAAATGTAATTTTTACAGCCTGATTCAAATGGATGTTTCTTTTCTACCCTAACTCATTCCAAATCTGTAGTTAAGGGACTGAATTGACTGAGGATAAGATAAAATAGCCTTTCAGTTACATCACCAGGAGAAAGTGTTAT